TGTGTGTGTGTGTGTGTGTGTATGTGTGTGTGTGGGAGTGTGTGTATGTTTTTGCATTGATTATTATAAAAAAAAAAAACGATACAACTCGGTTTTGTTTTCAAAAAAGATTAAATTTTTTTGAAAATAATTTTTTAATTTAAAGCATGTATATGATTTGAAAATAATATCACATTAGAAAACAAATTACTTGTTGAAGTTGGTATGCAATCAGTATGTGGAGTCTGCTTGTTTAGTTAAAATAGAGTCATTTTAGTTTTATGAAGAGTAGTTCGAGATTCTCGGGATGTACATATGCAAATTAATTTATTAAGGTTTTTTAAAATATTTGTAATATAAATTCAAGAGTATTCAAAATCTGTAGAAAAACAAATTGAAAATACTATATATGTGTGGCTTAAATATATATGCTCCATAATAGAAAATACAATAGAAGAAATGTTTTGAATAATCTATTAGAAAAAACCAGAAATCAATTGTTTTAAAATAGAAATCAATAAGGGCCCGGGTACATAAAAAAACTTAAGCAGTAAAGCGGGGAGCACACACTTTTGCATAAGCGCATAATCATAAGCATGAGGAAATTGATTGGTCCATTTCCTTATGCATAAAAAAATTGACCAATCAAATTCCTTATGCTTATGATTATGCGCTTATGCAAAAGTGCGTGTTCCCCGCTTAAGACTTAAGGGTCGGCAGGAGAGACGGTGGAGAACTCTCGCGGGAAGCCATAAATTACGAATTCGTAGTCTACGTCCTACAGCCAAAATAAAGAGAAAATCGGATTCTAATGATGATATTCGTATTCAGCAGCATCGTCTTCTTAGACGTACAGAGCGTTTTTTTGAAAAAATGATCAAAATAAAAATTTTAATCTGACAAACAACATATAGCTGATTGTAGATCAGGTGTAGTTGCTCTCGAATTCATATTATATTTTTATTATAAATTTTTAAGAACCAAATTGCAAAATCCGGCTCTGTACGACTAATTCTAACGATGTAAGAAATACATCAAAACAAGTTTAATGAAAAAATATTAATTTTTCGAGATGTAAGACGAAGACTACGAATTTCACCACATCTGTATCTAAAGTGCAGCTAACAGCAGAACATGGGGAATATTCCGTCTTAAGAATTTCAACCATACAGAATTTTCAGAGTAGCTTACGTTTCAATATGGCTGCCTTACTGTTCGACCGTGATTGGTCAATTCGCTTACGTCTTAAGTCTTATGTCGGGATTACGATGAACTTGACGTAAAGCCCGTATCAGACTACGCATTGAAGATTGAGATTGAAGATCAAAGATTGAAATTTGACCAATCAGGACAAAGAAATTTTAGTCCCTTTTGTTCTGATTAGTCAAATTTCAATCTTTAATATTCAATCTTCAATTTTCAATGCGTAGTCTGATACGGGCATAACGTGAAGTAACGTGATGTGAACTTAATGCGTCGTCTACAATGGCAGTAACAAGGCTGTAGGAGTAGGAGAGCATACTGTTTTTAGTAGTCGCGACAACTTTCTTTAGAATGATTTATATCTTGATACAATTCGTTTACTAATATGAATTCCGGTGTATAAGTGAAAAGACCGGTAGGATCGCTTATGCAAGGAGCGTTAGTAATTGAGGCGTAGAAAAGGGTCAGTCTAGAGCATACTTCGATGCTCGATAGACGAAAGATGTCTAGGGCACGGTATGTGCTCAGTAGACAAAGGATGTCTAGGAGTAATAGATGCGGTACTTAATTATTAGTTAAAATATGGTTTTGAAAAATGACGGGACGTCACACCAGCTAACCATTTGCTTGCGGATTGTTAACAAACCGCAAACAATTCCCTGTGGAACGAGGCTGCCAAATTCAGGGCCTATTGTGTCCTCGAGTGCGTCCCAATTGCAACCAAAAGTTGAGATCATATCCTGATGTCAAATTGGGTACAACACCAAAGCAGATCTGTCACTAGCAGTGCGACGACAGATTGACGCAACAAATCGAGAGCAGGTTTGTCAACCGCAGACCGACAACAAATTTGCGCCAAATGCCCAGCAGATCTACGGCAATTTTCGACGACAAAAATTAGATCAGTTACAGTATTAATATATAATAATACATATTAATGTGTTAAAACATATAGGTAAATTTAAATAATTTGATTTATAAAATTAAAGATTTTTTTGGACAGGAATTGCCCGAATAAGTAAAAATCGAACAACTATTTGTTCGATTTTCCAAAAATCAGTTCAATATTTGAATTATCCTGTATAGGCATCGTGTCAAAAATTGAACTGATAGAGATAGATATATTACAATATTATTAGTCACATTTTGCAGGCTTTATATACACTCATGACAAAAACTTGAATACGAGTATACAGGGTGGTCCATTTTAAAAGAGCCAGTCAAATATCTCGAAAAATATGGAAGATACGGAAAAACGTTTCAGACAAAAGTTGTTTGGTTCGAAGGGGGACATAA